TGCATGCAGAAACCAACAGGGATTTACTGCAAGCCGCCGGTCCACCTGAAGCCGCGTTTCTTTCTCTGCCGATTCTGCTTCCGCGGCCTTGGTGCGCTCTTTCCGGCAGAGCTGCACGCAGAAACGAACAGCCTTGAAACTCTGAGTGTGTGCTTACCTAGTCTCCATTTTAGTTCCTTTCTTTGGCTGACCAAGTTGCTATTATAGGACCGTAAGCATAGAGCCGAATGACCAAAAAGAGGAACTACAATGGAGACTATAACCCTAAACCCTAAACCCCTATAACCCTAAACCCTAAACCCTAAACCCCAAACCTTAAACCCCTATAACCCTATAACCCTATAACCCTAAACCTAAACCCCTATAACCCTAAACCCTAAACCCCTATAACCCTATAACCCTATAACCCTAAACCCTAAACCCTAAACCCTAATAGGTAGGATTTAGGTCAAGCCGCTGGGCTCTCCTGAAGCCGCATTTTCTTCTCTGCTGCCTCTGCTTCCTCCGCTTTGGAGCATTCTGCCTAGCAGGGGGGGCCCTCACACATGGGACTTTCCGAAAAGAAGGTTTAGGGTTTAGGGTTTAGGGTTTAGGGTTTAGGGTTTAGGGTTTAGGGTTTAGAAAAGAAGGGATACCGTATTTGGGGGGTCCTTATAGTAAGGGATCCTACTGTTTAGGGTGCTATATTAGGGTCCCCTATTTTCGGAAACCCCCACATCAAGGGGCGTAGTTCAGGAGAGAGGGTTGTAAGAAGGAGCAGAATGCCTGCGGCCTCGGCAAAACTAGAGTACGATTTTGGGTGAGTAGTATACGCTTAAGGGTATACTGGGTACAGTATCTCGAATTAATGAGACATTTATAGTTAGTACCAGTAGGCGTTTGGGGTGTAGGATACCCCAGAGATCCATGTGCCAATATGGTGTATACTGAACTCTACCAGGGGCTCCTCTATAGTAAGCGTAAGACCACATTACACACGAAATCGCTGCACATACCTATCGGATACCTCTCAACTTCCCATTCTCAGTGTCCATAAAGGAAAAGGCTTTCAGTTAAAGAGGGTTCCTTAACCCAGAGAACCCAATACCCCTTAATTGAGGAATATACCTTAAATCATACTAGTCAGGCCCTTATAATTTAAGGTATCTTCCTTAATTAAGGGGTATTGCGTTCTCTGGAAAACGACTGTAAGTTAAAGAGGGATCCTTCACATGATTCAAGGCTAAGGTATATACCTGAATGACGGGTTTTTGGGGTCTCTGGCTCCGTGGTTAAGGAACCGCACAGACCCCTGCAGTCTGAATCCATAGGGGTATGTCTTGCATGCAGCCAGCTTCCTGGACTTAACTCTAGTTGCGGGGAATATGAAGATGATGAACTGCAAAACGGAACCTGAATAGTAACAGTCGTAATCTACGGGTGTGGGTAGTTCTCGAAAAAAAGGTCCCCTACTGGGCCCGCAATATAGTACGGCACCCTTATAAAAAGGACCCTAGAATCCCTAGAAGGGACCTCCGATTTTTTTTGAAATTTTGCCTTGTAAATGGCCTATAATTTACCCTTCTGGTACCAAAACAAGGGGTCATTTTTTAACCCCCGATTTGGTACCCTAATTTAGAGAACTACCCATGTACTGAAACCTGAATCTGAACCAAAGACCTGAAATCCCGGAGTAGATCACGAGATTCCTATGGGTTTCGGGGTTGCGGCTGTCGAGAAGCTATTCTTAAGACTAAGAGCTTGGATTTCATGGGGTGGAAAGGCATCCTCAACCCTAAACCCTAAACCCTAAACTCCAAACGCTAAACCCTAAACCCTAAAGCCTCAATACTAAACCCTAAACCCTAATCCTTAAACCTCAAACCCAAAACCCTCGAACAAGTATTGCTCATTGTTCAGGCCTCTGTTGTCCCAAAACCTATACCCTAAACCCTAAACCCTAAAGCCTACCCTAAGCACTCGCCCCGGAGGCCTTGTTCCCGGCACCTGCAAGCAGCTCCTCCAACCGGGGTTTCGGGTCAGGGATTGGTTTAGGTTTGGGGTGCGTTGGTTGGGGTTACGGGTTTTGGGTTTCAGGTTTAGGTTGCGTGTTTAGTTGCATGGATTAGGTCGATTGGATGTCGACAGAAGCTCTGGGAAAAACGGCTTTGGCCTAAACCTCAAACCTTAAGCCCTGAAGCCCTCGATGCTAAACCCCGAAACCCCACACCCTGTAGGTCCTGAACCCTCAAACCCTGAAGACTGCAAGCCTGCCCTCTTGCAAACTGGATTCGAGCGATGCTCCCTAAGGATTCCCTAGCATGCTCCCGATGATCTTTCCGCGTGCTATATCTCAGCCCCTGAACAAACCCCTTACTATGGCCCGTGAGGAAAGGGCTGCGTCGTCAGGGCTTTACACTAAGGGAGTGGGATTCCTACACTCGTGCACCCCTTATCAATGATCTAAGGTTGAAACCATGGGCCCCTAGTAGGGGCTCTTAACCCTGGGATCCTGATGCACCTAAACCCTAAACCCTAAACCCTAAACCCTAAACCCTAAAACCTAAACCCTAAACCCTAGATACCCTGTATGTACCCTTCAGGGTCCCTAGAAAGGCCGAACGGTCCCATCTTAGGGGCCCCTTCCTCGAACCTTCGAAATGAGGGAACACCATCAACAACTAATATCTCTGTTAGTCCACAACCTCATCCCCACAAGGCCCTCTAACCCCTAGAGGCCCCTAGATCCACACTCCTTGCGACCGAACAATGTCCTCACCTTGTCGATCCAAGATCTACACCGGGGTTACAACCCCTGAAAACTGCGAAATCCTGCGCAAAAATCCCCAACGCACCCTCTAAATCTAAAGTCCCGCTCAGAAACGCGCTGCTTTCCATTCCGATCAGCCCTGTCACGTTTTGACCCTTGTATATTTTTCGAGGGGTGAGGAGTCTCGGACCCTGGTAGCCTAATGTAGGGGCCTGAGTAGTTGGTTTAGGGTTTAGGGTTTAGGGTTTAGGGTTTAGGGTTTAGGGTTTAGGGTTTAGGGTTTAGGGTTTTAGGGTTTTAGGGTTTTAGGGTTTTACTGTTTATGGTTTAGGGTGTAGGGTTTGTGGCTTGGGGTTTGGGGTTTAGGGTTTAGGGTTTAGGGTTTAGGGTTTAGGGTGGGAGGGAGCCTAAGTTGGAATAGGGTTCCTTTGAAGGGATCCTTAAAAGGTTCCAGAAAGGATCTACGATAGGGTTCTATATTAGGGGCCTCAATAAGTAGAATCGGGCTTTGGTATTATACTAGGTTTGTAATAAAGGCGCCCCAAAAGTAGTGAAGGTAAGTATCAAGGCCCCTCTATTAGCCTAGTGAGAGTCGACCCCGAACCCCCCAAAACACTCAAAACACCCTGAACCAGCAGACCACAAAACCCGCTAGATTAGGGTTTAGGGTTTAGGGTTTAGGGATTTAGCCTAAACCCTAAACCCTGAACCCCAAAAATCCTTCTTCACTGTCGCCCTTACAAAAAGAGCCTCAAAAGATCAAATCAACCTCCAAAATCCTGAAACCCCTAAACCCTGAACCAAAACCCTTTACAGAGCCCCCAAACCCCAAACCACAAACCCTACACCCTAAACCCTTGACCCTAAAACCCTAAACCCCTAAACCCTAAAACCCTAAACCCTTAAACCCTTAAACCCTTAAACCCTAAACCCTAAAACCCGAGACCCCCCAAGCCCTAAACCCCAAACCCTACACCCTCTAAATCCGGCACCCTCAGGCCGTAATTCTAATCTTCCCTCGGCGGACGGGGCCCTGGACCCTACAACCAACCAGCCCAAAGGGTTTAGGGTTTAGGGTTTGAAGCCACAAACCCCAGGTCAAGAAAGTCACTGCAAACACAGTATGTTGGACGACGAAGCTGGGAGTTTTAGCGCGCTGACATTGGATCTGTAAGAATCTTTAAGCAGGAAAGCGACAACCTTTAGCGACGTTTTTGACCATCGTCTTCTGTGCTGACCGGTCTTACCCGGATGGTGTACAAGCAATGTTAAAAGCACCAGATCGCCCTGGTTCTAGTCGGATTTCTCACGTGATTGCGGTTTCGGCTTCGATGATCTGCAACATCGGCGGAGGCACATGAGCAGTAGCACAGTGACGGGGATCCACGAGTAGATCACCACCTGGGTAGTTCTCTAAATTAGGGTCCCTTTTTGGGGTCCTCATTATAATACGGCACCTATTATTTGGGGTACCCCAAAAGGGACCATAATTTTGACAACCACCCACCTTCAGGATCAGGCCAAGGCGTGCGATAAAGGCGGAATCGTTCACCTTTGGGAAAGGGACATCCGGCACCGGCAGGTCCAGAAAGGAGCAGAGCGGTCCCCAGCCCTCCGTCACTGTAAACTCAAGGAGCTTCTCTTCCGGCACAAGGGTCCGAACCATCCTGCGTGGTGGCTTTGGGGTCCTTCAAAGTATTTATGAGTAGGTACCTCCCCTGGGAACTATAAAGGGAAATTAGAAAAAATATCCAAAAGTAACGCCCAGCATCGCATTGTGTTTCTCGTACTGGGTGGCCAGCCAGCCCTCACGATGCTGATCGTACTCGTAAGTGAGTTTGCAGGGCTCTAGCCACATGGTTTTCTGTCCCATCAAGCAGCGAGCTGCATTGAGATCCTGAACTCTTGGAATGAACGAGAGAAAGTTCGGGTAGAAGAGAGAGAAGGGACTGCTCTGAACACGAACGAATTCCATCAGAGTTGAGAAAGACTTTTCCCAACCAGCTGCTTCCTTAGGGTGCAGTGTGAGGATAACTTTCGCATCAGGAAACATCTGTATCTGCTCCGCGAAATACTCGCACATGGGATTGTCCATGGTTGCGTTGTAGCCATCCTTCGCAATCTTTTCGAAGACCTCCTTCACTGAGGCCTTACGTTCAGAAAGTTCTCTCCACTTCTTCGCATGCGAGCCGTCTCGCAGCAAAGCCTCCATGTGATAAGTATGATATCCGAGTGTTCGCAATGCCTCCTGCATGCTCATCGTGCCCGTCCTTCCGAGCCCGGCGACAATCACCCGAATCTCTCCTTCTGGCTTTGTCATGCTTGTCTGTAGGAGGTTGAGGATTTGTCGATGTTCGTTTCAGCCACGGCTATGCCGGGCCCATCCACCACGAGCGAAAGGAGCTTCACCGCGGGAAGTCTAGCAAAGGCTAGCAACCATACGCTGTCTTAATAATGCATCTTGGGACCAGGAGCTATTGGATACGTGTCACAGCATTGTCTAGAGCCATAATATAGCTTTTACACAAATAAGCTCCAGACTATGTGCCAGGAGCTGCAGTGCACCAACTGGAAAGTGCGCTTGAGCACACTAAACACAGAGGCCTCACATCATGCTAGCACAGCAGTATTGTGATCTTCAAAGTCTTCGAAGAAGTTGGAGGAGTTTGGACACATGACTCAGAGGCTTTCGCTGAAATAACTCTGGGCGCACCAGGAATTGCTAAACAAGCCGAGAGACACCAGCCACTTCGCCGAATGTCCTGCAACAAAAAGATGCTGGGCCTACTAAACGCAAAGAGCCCTCAGCCCGGAGTGACAGAGCAGAGATTATTGGGTTTGCATAAATTCTGAGAATAATAATGGTAGCCATACGAAATAGGAATGAGAATCGAATCAAACTACTCTTCAATAATAAGAACTTTTTTGATCATAATAATAATACTCATAAGAGCAATCATCATGATAGTAGGGGTGGCTTTGGAAGTGGATCGGGTTGAGGAGTTTACAGAGCTGATGAACTCAGCGATCATGCTGCTGACGGTTTCCATTGCGGGCCCATTTCCTGGATACCTTGCTTTGACGGTAAGATCATAACCAAACACGGTTCATCAAAAACGGAACTACAATGAGGACGATGGGTGTTTCCGAACTAAGGCCTCACCTCACCCATCTCCTTAAACCCTAAACTCCAAACCCATCTCCATCGATACAGACGTCTTGACGTCAACTGTTACCCTGACGCCGGAATGGAGGAGCCTACAGCTGTAAGTGACGAGAGCCTTAGGCTTTGACGATACATGTATAAGGTCTAGGGATTGGTGTTGAAGACTGTATATGTATATAGATGGAATATAGATCACGATGCGATGATGCGCAAAAACCCACACAAGTACTACAATCCAGGCCCTAAACCCTAAACCCTAAACCCTAAACCCCTAATCCCTAAACCCCTAAACCGGGTGCAATATTACGGGGCTCAGGGGGCCAGTTCTGTGAGGTCTCGTGCTTGTAAAGGAGATGTAGGGACCATGGCCTGGGCCTCAGGGCTAACGGTTTAGGGTTTAGGGATTGTAGGGGTTTAGGGTTTAGGGTTTAGGGTTTATAGGGGTTTAGGGTTTAGGGTTTATAGGGGTTGTAGGGGTTTAGGGTTTATAGGGGTTTAGGGTTTATAGGGGTTTAGGGTTTAGGG